GATGTGGATCAAGGCAAAGGCCTTGGGTTCATTTCTTGTGCCAAAAAGAAAAAAACCAATGGTCTTGTAATTCTGTTTGTGAGGGGAGTACTAGAGATTGAACTTACATGGAGCTACAGCCCAACCTTCTTTTTTCTTAAATTTTGAGACAGGCTTGGCCTGAAGCTGCCTCAGTGTCACAGAGTGCTGGGATTGCAGTCATGTGTCCCTGCGCCCCGCTTGTGATCTAATTCTACCTTTCCTTTTGCATTTCTTACTTAAAATTTATTAAGAAGATCTTTAATTAACTTACTCTAAATTCAATTTGTCCAGAAAAGGAAGGATAAATCATGCCTCTTTTTATGTAGTTTATCAATGTGCAAAATAAGAATGTGTTCCAGCAATCTCCAAATATGATGGAGCTTTAAAGTATTATTATGAATTCATGGCACTTATGTATTTGATGCTTTTAATCCATTTCAGTTCTAGTATGAGCCTTAAAATTTGCTTCTACATCCTTTTAACCTTTGTAAGTGGTCGTTTAGTTTTTAACTCCATTGCTTTTTGGCTTAAGATTTTCAGGTTCATAGTCTTGTTCCAGACTATTTCTCTGAGGATGCCTGATCAGTAGGAAATGTAATTTAGAGAACATAATCCAGTGCCACGAAGCTTACTCTTTCCAGCAGATTGGTTTCTTAGACCTTTGTATATATATTTTTAACAAAGGTTCTAGATTTAACAGTTTTTCAGTGTATGCTCATTTTTATTAAGATTTAGGTGGAAGGAAAATAGCATTAACACGATTCTGTTACATTTACCATTCCTTTAGAGAGGATTTCTTTTACCAGACACTATGGTAGGCATTAATATTCAGTAATATTGTGGCTGTTGTTTTCAGGAAAGCAGTAAGACTTGCTTTGGGGATATAATGGGATGATGGCATAATTTTGATTTGATAAATGAAACGATGTTAGCTTTCTGTTACTATAACAAAATACCTAACATAATCAACTTAATGGAAAGGTTTATTTGGCTGACAGTTGCAGAGGTTGCAACTCACAGTTGCTTAGCCTTATTCCCTTTTGGGCACGTGCTGAGCGTGGTATAACACAATGGGCTAGATGTGGTGGTATACGTCTGTGATCCCAGCATTTGGGAGACTGAGGCAGGAGGATCACTTTAAGTTCAAGGCCAGCCTTGGCTGCATAGTGAGTTCAAAGCCAGCCTCAACTGTTTAACATAGCAAGAGCGCATCTCTAAAACCAAAATAAAACAAAACCACACTTGAAAACATGGAAGGGAGAAGGGCAGTTTTCATTGTGGTAGCTGCAAAGCAAAAAAAAAAAAAAAGAAAAAAAAAGAAAAATCAAAAACAAAAAAACAGAGCCAGGGCCCTAATATCCCCTTTCAGGACATATTCCTGTATGACCTGGTCCCCCACTAGACCCTATGCCTTATTGGTTTCCAACACCTTCTTATAGCACCAAGCTGACTGCCAATCCACTAACCCATGGGCCTTTGGAGAACCCTCCTGATCCAAACTACCAGAAACCATACATGGATGAGATACAGAGATAGCACACAAGAAGATGAACTCTTTTGGCATGGAATGTTTAAGGAATGCTTTCTATCCCAAGGAAGGTAGCATCTGTTCTGGTTATTAAAGGAAAGGTATCCAACTGCATAGATAAAAGATGAAAGACAAGGGCTTTCAGAGGAAGGTGCATATTAAAAAGTAGATTGACATAGAGGATGGCAGCAAATGAGGCAAAGTCCAGCAAGACAGGAACCTAGGTCCCTGGAGGCAAAGGGGAAATGCTAGCAGATTTTACAGAGATGTATGAAATGGTCTAGTTTATTCCTCAGAATAATCTCTGGCAAGTGGCTAAATTCACTTTGGATTTTACAAACTTCTACCTAGAATAGAAGTTGGTAACAGTAGACACTTAATACTGTTTGGTGAATGAAATAATGAAAGATTATTACATGAATAAAAAAAGACCATAAGTATGAATTAAAACCATATAGACATACAGGTCATATTTTGACACTACTATTTGATTCATCTTCTGGCTTACTTAGTATGGTACCATGAGATTTTCATGAACAAATCATCAGTAAGTAAAGTAACTTAATATAAAAATAGAAAAATACTTAAAGGATATAAATGACAAACTCACAAAAGCAAAAGTCTGAATGTTAACTAGATATATGCAAATAAGTTCAACTGCATTAGTAACAACTAAGGAAATGCAAATACCATTTGAACCCTAAAAGATGGAAAGATAAATTTAAGAGTCTAAACAAAACCCAGGCTTGACCAGAATGTCATGTCCCTGGAACTCTTCATGCTGCGGTTGGGAGTATAAGCTGGTAAAAACACTATGGAGAGTGTGTCTTAGTTACTTTTCTCATTACTGAGACAATATGCCCAGCACATAAAGTTAAAGAAAGAAAGGTTTATTTGGCTCATAGTTTGTAGAGGTTTCAGTCTAATCAGCTGGCTCCAAGGCAGAGTAGCACATGACAGATATCACAGAGGAGAAACATTCATGGCAGGCAGAAGACAGCAAGTGCAAGTGACCAGCAATTACCACAGCAGCTCTTTTACTATTCCTTATATTTTATCCAGGCTGCATGCAGACTCAGATCCCAGCATCACATACTCTAGCTCCAGCCATTTCCAAAAAGCCCCGTCTATGACTGCATGAGACTCAAGGGGGACATCTAGATACAAGTCAGAGTGATTTGTCAGTCAATATTCAGAAAATCAGAAGATGCGTGTATCCTTTGACCTAGCATTTCCACTCAGATATAAACTTGGAGAAATGCACACAGCTGTAAAAAGAGACACATTTGACAATGTTGATTGTAGTGTTAATTAAACCAAGTATGTTAAGAAATAACATAAATGTCCATCTGTAGGAGAACAGACAATTGTTGATACATAGTAACAGTTCATCACTGGAAATGAACAAATCAGCCAAGTGAATAAAACATGAAAAAGCATAGAAAATTGTATATAAAGTATGCTGTCACTTATGTGAAATAAACTAAGCAAAAATATTATACAGTAATAGAGCAAGTGAATACAAATAATAAATATATTTATTTTTGATTTTACAAACTTCTGCCCAGAATAGTAGCTGAAAATTAAAAGGTTATTGTTTAAATAAAAGAAGTTAATAAAGTGATGAGAATTGAGAGAGAATGAAACGTCTATATATATATATATATATATATATATATATTTTTTTTTTTTTTTTTTTTTTTTTTTTTGAGACAGGGTCTCACTATGTAGTTCAGGCTGACCTTGACCTCACTTTGTAGCCCAGGATGGTTATGAACTTGCAACAATCCTCCTGCCTCAGCCTCCTGAGTGCTGGGATTACAACCGTGAGCCACGCCTGACTTGAAATCTAGATTTTGTCACTACTACTTGATTCATCATCAGATTTACTTAGTACCGTATCATAAAATGCTAAACTGGGCAAGGTGGGAGTGTCTGTCATTCCAGAAGACTGAGGCAGAAATATTGCTGTGAGTTTGAGGCTAACCTGGGCTGTTACATAGTGAGTTCAAGGTGAGCCTGAATTACATAATGTGGCCCATAATGAGCACAAAACGAAACAAAACAGAGCCTGGCATGGTGATGAGACCTGTGATCCCAGCACTCAGGAGATTGAAGCAGGATTGCTGCGAGTTCGAGGCCAGCCTGGGCTACACAGTGAGTCCAAGGCTGATGTGAACTACATAGTGAGACCCTTCACCAAACCAACAAAAGTCCCAAATTTAACGGCCTGACTATCTCTGAGGAGGAGAAACAGGAGGGAAGTGGGATTTGGGGAGGATAACAGAACTTTAGTCTTTCTAGAAAGAAAGAGGAAGGGAGGGTGGGTTATGAGTAGATTTAACATGGTGGCATACACATGTAACCCAGGATTCTAGGAGGCTAAGGCAGGAGGATTGAAAATTCGAGTCTAGCCTGGACAATTTAGGATTTAGCAACACACTGTCTGAAAGAATTGAAACAGGACTGGGTCTATAACTCAGTGCAAAGGCCCTGGGTTCAGTTTTCAATAGCCTGCTCCCCAAGATACAACAATTTAAATTTTGTAAAGTTAGGTGATAGACAGCTATTTAGTTTTTTATTCCTTCAATATATCTAAAATGTTTCTAATGAAAAATTCTTTGAACACAGAAAATTTCAGAATTATCCTTATCAAAGTGAAACATTTTCTTAGCATCTAAGTAATTTTAAGAGCTACTTATTTGCAATTTAAATTAGCTCAGATGCTGTTTGATGTTTCAGAAATAACTTTAGTAACAAAGGCCTATTCATTGTCCACTGGGTTCCAGAATATCTGAGGGCACATCCTTCAAGGACTCCCAAATCATTCTGAACACCCAGGTTACAAGATCCTAAGGAAACACTAAGATTTTATCATGTTATTAACTAAAAGCCATTGACCTAACAGTGATATTTTCCCTCTGTAAGAAGTAATTTCTTTACAATTGAGTAGTGTAATTAGAGATGATCAGAAAGTGTGACAAAGAATCACTCTAAGTTGTATTTTCTTTTTCTTTTTTTTTTTTTCTCTTTTTATCGGTACCAGGGATTGAACTCATGACTACCTGCTTGCAAGGCAGGTGCTTATGCTGCTGAGCTAAATCCCCAGCCTCACTTTTTTTTTTTTGGTCTTTTTTTCTTTTTTATCAGTACCGGGGATCGAACTGAGGACCACATATACTTGCAAGGCGGGCACTTATGCTGCTGAGCTAAATCCCCAGCCCCTAAGTTGTGTTTTCTTTAATCTTGTACTAAAAACCTAGTAAAAGGTCTTGTTACGTTTCCTGACTTGCATGTGAGGTATTTGAGTTTTGTGACTTCATGTGATTTCACAATGTGTCATCCACAGTATGAAAATGTTTGAGGTGGTTTACAGGTCAGAGGGTTTTCATTTACTTGTGAAGTTCACACTACTGAAAGTAATTGCAATGTTTGACTGCTACTTTTTTAGAGCACAAGAAAGAGAAAGACGAAGCACAGTGCACGTCCCCCTCTAGAGTGTCATGTTGGTTGGGTGATGGATTCCAGAGATCACAGGCCCAGAACATCCTCTGTCAGGTATCAGATCTGTCACACATTGCCTTGTGTGTTCCTGATTTAAAGTTTGTTGGAAAAGTAACTACTTAGTTAGTGATATTTTTAAATTAGTATAAAATATAGAGAAAATAGTAAAAAGATACCAAAGAAAGAAAATAAGCAGGATGGTTTTATAGTAAGTGCATCAAGGGAATAATTCAGTGGGACAGCTTGTTTTTTATTTGAATTCTTTTTCACAAATATTGCTCCTTAGATCTGTAAGCTATGTCGATCTGTGAAAGTTATCTGTGGAAAGATTCTAGATTCTTAGTGGCATTTAGTACATTCTTTATGAGTATTTATTGAGAGACTGCATGTGCTTCATGATGTACTCAAATTATATAAAGAATATGGCAACAAAGCACATTATTTTTTATTTTTTTCATTTTCAGGGAAATAACTTAGATAATCTGATTAGCAGGAAATACTTTTTTTTAACTTTACAAAAAACTATTATTTACCTCAAAAGAGATAGTGCAAACCATTAGAGTGCCAATTGAGTGCAGCGGCGCTCAGAATGGTTGTACACGTCTGTAATCCCAGCACTCAGGAAGCTGAGGAAAGCAGAGCTCTGCAAGATAAGGCCAGCCTGGGACGCATAGTGAGTTTAAGGCCAGCCTGAACTACACAGAGAGACCCTGTTTCAAAAAGAAAAGATTGATATGTTTTGTCCTATCGAGGAACACAGAGGTGATTTTACTGTTCATTGGCTTGTGTTTGTTTAAAATTTATCTCATGTTAATACTTGATATTTTCAGAGTAATTGTTTTCATGGACTGATAATCCTGCAACCTCCCAAACAAGTGGATGACGAAGGCTTAAGTAAAGACAAGTAGTATGATTTTTTAGGGCTCCAGGAGGATCAAAACCCTCTAGCAGAATTTGAGATTCTCTAGGGCTGAGACAAAGAACTTCTCTGGGGGGCTCTATTTATTTGGTTTTCAGACAAGGAAGGGATTAGAGTAGAAAAGTAGGAAACTGAGCAGGACCTCAGCAGTGGCTTCAAAGACTCCTTTAATAAGTTGTATTAATTTAGGAGAACTCTCTTATGTCTGGAGTGACCTGCACTGCAGGCGTGCCATGCCTGCAGCTACAGTCTATCTAGTTAATTAGGGTTGGAGCCAGCATAGTCACCTATAGGCCTCAGCCAGGGCCAGTGATTCCCAGAGGTCCACTTACTGTGAATCTGCTGCCCATCTGCAGACACGGGGCCTAGGCCTGGGACAGACTCACAAGTAAACATGGAAAGCCAGTTTGCTAATTTTATTTTATTTATTTATTTATTTTGGTACTGGGGATCGAATTCACGACCACGTGCTTGCCGGCAGGTCATTATGCTGCTGAACTAAGTCCCCGGCAGTTGGTTAATTTTAAAATCATGAGAGCCGCTTCATAGTGGTCTCCATCACATCAAATTATCCGTTTTTTTGTTTTTTGTTTTTTTTTTTTTTTTTTTTTTTTTTTTCATTTGAAAATTTAAGTGGGCTGGGGATCTAGCTCAGCGGCATAAGCGCCTGCCTGGCAAGTGTGAGGTCATGAGTTTGATCCCTGGTACCGGAAAAAAAAAAAGGAAAATTTAACTTTCAGAACAAATGTTTTTTGACTGGTTACTAGAAAGAAAGGATTAGTTTTATGAAAAGAAGTGCTTGGGAGTTTGTCATAATCTCAGTAATCTTGAAATGTGTCTTTATATTGATATCCATTTGGTAGTTTTATGTTGTTTTCATTAACTATATTGCCATTAATGGTAAAGTGGGTATATGTCAGGAACAAGGGAAGAATGTTCCCACTTGGCATTCCTATCCAGTGCAGTTCTTCAAACTCTAGCTAGCACAGTTAAGCAAGAGAAAGAAAGCACAAATTGAAAAAGCCACTATGAGATACTGTTTCACACCCACTAGGATGGTATTAACTGAGTTGGGTTCCCTCAAAATTCCTATGTTGAAACCCTAGGTCTTGATGTGACTCTATTTAAAACTAGGAATATTAATGAAGTAAGAAAATTAAAGGAGGTCTAAAGAGTGGAGTCCTACTCTGATAGGGTTTGAGTCTCTCCAGGAAAAGGAAGATACCAGGGAGTTCTCTATGTATCTGCTTAGGAGACAAGGCATGTTCAGACACAGCAAGAAGGTGTCTGTCTGCAAGTCATGAATAAGATTTCACCAAGATGAATGCAGGTAGCATCTCCTATTCTAACCTCTAGAATTGTAAGGAAATAAATTTCTGATGTTCAGTCACCCAGTCTGTGATGTCTTGTTATGTACCAACCTGAACTGACTAATATATAGGTGTAACTTTTTTCCTTTCCTTTTATTTTATTTTTGGTACTTTAAGATAGGGTTTCACTGTGTAATTCAGGCTGGCTTTGAACTCACTTTGTAGCCCAGACTGGCTTTGAACTTGCAGCAATCCTCCTGCCTCAGCCTCTTGGTTGCTAGGATTATAGTCATGTACCACCACATCTGGCTGGATGTATGTAACTTTTAAAAAATTTGAAAATGAGTATTTGCGAGGATGTAGAGAAATTGGAATCCTTTTGTGTTGTTGGTGGAAATATAAAATGTACCAGTCACCTAGGAAAAAGTGACATTTTCTCAAATCATTTAAGCATAAAATTCTGTATGACCTAGCTGTGTTTCTCCTAGTTATACATCCAAAAATATTGGAAAAAAAGGATGCAAATGGATATTCATATGCCCCTGTTCATAGAATTATTCAAAGCCAAAAAGTAACAGCCCAACTGTCCCTCAATAAATGACTGGATAAGCACAGTGTGGTGTACACTTACAATGGAATATAAACATTAGCTGTAGAAAGGAACACAGTTTGATAGATGCCCCTGCACAAAGTTTGATAATGTTATGCTTTATATATAGATATAGATATAGATATAGATATAGATATAGAAGGGTAAACACTGTATGATTGACATGAAGTACCTGGAATAGTGAAATCTGTAGAGACAGGTTAGAGTGCAGGTTGCTAGGGAAGTGTAAAGGAGTAGGTGTGGCTTAAAGGGACAGTTTTTGGGAGAATAACGAGGTTTGGGGTATAGGTAGTAGTGATGGCTACATTGCATTGTGAATATATTGGGTATGTTTTCACACATATACCCACACACACTTGCACACCCACCTGTCTGCAGCCATGCAGATGCCCCCAAAATCCACTACTGTTTTCTCTAGCAGTCTTTAAGTGTTAGTGGGAAAAGTTTCTATATCAGGCTCACAGTGACAAATACAATTTCCAAAATCCCATTTTTGCTTGAAAACTGAGATTTTACCATTGGGAACACATATTTAGTTATTTTTATTCATATTAAAGACTCATTTCCTTTTTTTAAAGAAGCATATGAAAAATGATGAAACCTAAATAACCATATTGTGTTGGCTGGTCTTCCATTGTACTCTTTTCTTTTAAGACAAGACCTTGCTATGTGGTTCAGAATGGCCTTGAACTCTCTATGTAGCCTACGCTGGCCTTGAACTTGCAGCAATCCTCCTGCCTCAGCCTCCCAACTGTTGGAATTAGAGGCGTGCTCTACCATGCCTGTTTCTCTGTTGTACTTATATGTTACAAAAGTGTTTTGTGTCTGTCACATCCTAGAAATTGTGATTAAAAAGCATACATAAAGTCAACCATCTTCCCCATCTCTAAATGTACAGCTCAGTGTATCCATATCATTATTAAACACATATCCAGTACATTTTCATCTTGCAAAACTGAAGATTCCATCGCACTGTTAACACACACGCACAGAGATGTATACTCAAGGCTTGAGATTTCATAAAGTTTGTTTTTCTACTATGTCAAGTACATCTTGTTTATTTGTGAAGCACAATAAAGTTGTGCTGGCTTATGTTGGAGTAGGCTTTTTTTAAAATAATTGACAGTGAGCAGCAAGCCAGGAGTGGTGCATACCTGTAATCCCAGCACTTGGGAGGCTGAGACAGGACGATCCTTTCAAGTTCAAGATGAGCCTGAGCTACAAAGTGAGTTCAAGGCCACCCCGAATTGCATAGCGAGACTCTGTCTTTTTTTTTTTTTTTTTTTTGTCTTTTTCCTTTTTATCGGTACCAAGGATCGAACTCACGACTGCCTGTTTGCAAGGCAGGCACTTATGCCGCTGAGCTAAATCCCCAGCCCCGAGACTCTGTCTTTAATAAATAAATAAAATTGGTGTTACTGCATGCCTCAATTGATATCAGCTGTTTTACATATCATTACTTCTGTACCATTAGGACAAATTTCAGCCCAGGGGAAAAAAAAAAAACAGGTCTTTATGCTACGGTAAAATAGGTTTTTTTTGACTTTTCAGAAGGTTCCTGGGCACCCACTAAGGGTCTACAGACCACACTTTGAAAACCTGTGATTTGAATCAGTGTCATAGGAAAGTCTTTGTTGGCAGGATAGAAGTGGGAGCTTGGGGGAAATAGAAGAGCAGTTGATTCATGTAAAAGGGAGGAAGGCCGAAATCGGAATAAAGGGGTACAGATGAAAAGGAAAGAACATTCAAAGTGGATTCACTCTTTATCAGCTTTCGAATTTAGTTGTGTGTTGGACATAATGACTTCATGACGTACACCTGTGTGCTCCGAGTTGATTAGAGAATACTTTTGTCCCACTGCTTGGACACTCAGTAATGAAAAACTTGGGTTATACGCTTGCTTCTTGATACTTTAGTTTGAAGGCTTTCCCCTCTTCCCTCCTCAAGCAGCAGTTCAAACCCTTCACCTTCAGAAGCTGCATCACTTGTGGGGAGCTGTGGATGTGCCCCCCACCCACTCCCCAAGTTCCAGCACCCTTCTCATGAACTTTTGAAGGAAAATGGCTTTACCCAACAAATGTATCACAAGTATCGCCTAAGATGTCTAAGCGGTAAGATGCTTGTCTTCTCCTACCTATGTTTAAAATATGTAATTCTAACAAATTGAAATTCTGTCTTTTAATATCTGGTTAAAATATTCTTTTGTTAGCTGGGTGTGGTGGCGCACACCTGTAATCCCAGCACTTGGGAGGCTGAGGCAGGAGGATTCCTGTGAGGGGCCAGCCTGGGCTACAAAGTAAGACCCTGTCTCAAAAAACATATATATTCTTTTATTTTTGTTATTAATAGTTATTATTATACATTTCTTTATATTTTTTACCTTAGACACATTACTACAGTATATTCTTGCTTTTGACAAATGTTTATAATTTAAGCAGTGTGTCATCAAAAGGATTAATATTTGTCCTCTAGAAGAAATTCAAATTCATTTTAGAATTAAGATGTTTCAGTTTTCTTCATTTTAAGCTACACAGAATGACTACTGTCTTGACTTTTATTAATGCATTTAACTCTACAAAAAAAATTTTTTTTTTACCTTTCCCAGAAAGAAAACGCTTGGGAATTGGACAGTCCCAAGAAATGAATACCCTCTTTCGTTTCTGGTCCTTTTTCCTCAGAGATCACTTCAATAAAAAAATGTATGAGGAATTTAGACAACTTGCTTGGGAAGATGCAAAAGAAAATTACAGGTCAACTATTATGTAATATTTTTACACTTAGGAAGAATTTTTAAAATAATTTAAGAAACAAGTACTCAAGTAACCTACTTTTTTGTACTGTGAAAGTTCCACACTATATCTCAAGTATGAGCATATTCATTCGCTATTATTGCATACCAAATTACCCCCAAACACAAAAGATTAAAACATTTTGGAGGATCAAGTCTCTAGGTAGTTCTGGCCCATGGTCTCTCATGAGGTTGCAAGCAAGGTGTTTGATGGGGCTTACGTTGACAAGACTTAAATTTGAAAATGCTTTTCAGGTTATTTTAGTTTCTGACCACAGAAGCCTCTGCATAGAGCATTTTACAACACACATGTGTTGGGAATGTGCCCCAGACTCGGTTTGTTGGTGCAGATGATAAAGCACTCAGGTGCCAAGAAATTGTGACAAGACTTTTTACTTCTGCAGAAGGGCACACTCCAGCATGAGGGGGCAGACGTGCAGGGAGTCTGCTGCAGCAGGCTCTTTGTATCCCAGACCTTCTACTCTCAACAAACAGGTTCTGTTAATCAGTGTGCTCATTACAGGAGGGGGCATTCTTGGGTGAGCTGGAATTCAAGATGGAGATACTCCCTTATTCATATTTGTGATAGCAAAGACCTTGTTTCTTACACATGCATGACCCAGAGCAAGTGATCTAAGAAAGGACTGTTGCCAAGGTGGAGCCTCAGCATCCTGTTTAACCCACACTGACTTGAAGGGGACCTGCTATCACTTCTGTGTATTGTGCACTGTACCGTCCAGGCCCCAAGACGGTTCAGGCAGAGACTTGAGGACTTGCTGTCTGAATGAACAAGCTCTCGGCCTTTTAGACACTTGGACGTATTCTTGCGTCTGCTTCTTTTCTTCTCCCTCACTCTGCTTTGCTTTGTTAACTCTTTGTTGCTTTTGTGCAGACTTAGCCTTGCCTCTTGCATCTGTGTTTAGGGAATGTGAGACCACACTAAGGGGGAGAAGGAACACAGAGTGTACCCACCTTATCTCTCTGTGGAGATAGGAAGGAAGGAAGGAGAGGCAGAAAAAGGAAAAACTGTAATTTCTTACTCACTAATATTTACCTACATTTACGTTTCTTTGGTTTTTTTTGTTCATTTTTTGTTTTTTTGGAGACAAGGTCTTGCTATTAGTCCAGCCTGGCATTCAACTCACTATGTAGTGCAGGCTGACATTGATTATGGGTGTGCACTACCAAGCCTGGCCCTTCACATTCTAAGAGTAGATTTCTGGCTAGACATAGTGGCACACACCTGTAATCCCAGCACTCAGGAAGCTGAGGTAGGAGAATTGCTGTGCTGCAAGTTCAAGGCCAGCCTGGGCTACATAGTGAGTTTAAAACCAGCCTGAACTACATAGCCAGATCGCATCTCAGAAAGCGAAAGAGACAGACAGAGACAGAGACAGAAAAGAAAGCTGGCTGTGGTGGCACACACCTGTAGCCACAGCACATGGGAAACAGAGGCATGAGGATCATTGCAAGTTCGAGACCAGCCTGGGCTACATAGTGAGCTCAAGGCCAGCCTGAACTGCATAGAGAGACCCTGTCTCAAAAAGAAAAAAAAAAAAAAATCAAACAAAAGGACCTGTAGATTCCTTTCGTACTCATATTTCAAATAAGAATTTATTGAATGAGATATTGTGATACTAAGAGGAACAAAGTGCTGCAAATAAATACTTCTGATAAGAATTGTACCTGTACCATATAAAAATGAACCATTTACTTTTCATCCGAATCTGTTTCGGTCAAGAACAGCAGATGCATGGCATGGGTACCTCCATTTCCTTCTCCCCTGTCTAGTACTAGCATCTTTGAGTAATCCCAGCACTGTTTCATGGTCTTTCTTACTATACTTTCACATTTATACTCTGGTTTATGGCTTCTGTAGCTTCTGATTTATAGAGTTGGCACATAAAAATAGAATTCGCTATTGATGTCTGTGTTGTCATTGAGGCTGTTTTTTGTTGCCCATTAGTGGGTTATAAAATCAACTTAAGGATTCTGTTTTGCTTTAAAAGATACAGTGGAAGGTATCACACTCTACTGAATTTAGCTTAACAGTTTGTACATATTTGCAAATTTAAGAATTGTTTTATGAAACATTTTATACACATACACATATACAAGTGCATGTATTGACTTACAAGGTAAAATATTTTTTCATGTTATTGCATAGGTAGGGAAATTTGAAAGCTATTGTTTTGATCTTAGTGTACCTCGTTCACCTTTTGTGCAATTTCTCTTTGTTCCTTTGGACTTTCTAGTAACTTCTCTTACTGTTTCACTGTAGCTTCACCAGGAGACTATGTTAGCTATATTAGATGCTTCTTCTAGAGAGAGATAGTTAAGTGTCTCAAGGCTTTGAAATCAGACTTTTGTTTGAATCTCAATCTGTTGGTTTACTGTGACCTTAATAGGTTATGTTCCCTCAGTTTCTTTATAACGCAGGAGAAATTGTTAGATAACTTCATAGTGTTATTGTGAAAGCTGAACAAAACATAGAAAGGACCCAACACATTAACTGTTACATAGCAATGCTCAATAAATGATTATCAATATTAGGAAAAAAGACCAGTATTGACTATCCACTGACTGAAAACAATAAAATGAACTCCAAAAAATAGAGAGCTCCATCTATAATAAACTATTTATAAAACACATACAGAGCCAAATGTGGTGGCGCATGTCTATAATCCCAGCACTAAGAAGGCTGAGGCAGGTGGATCACTGTGAGTTTGAGGCTAACTTAGGCTATATAAGTGGGTTCAGGACCAGCCTGAGCTACACAGACCCTGTCTCAACAAACAAAACAAAGCAAAACCCCCACACACCTGCTTCCTGTATACAGTAGCCAGCCAACTCTGTGTTGCCAGCAATAAAGAATTTGCAGCCTCTTCCACTGAGGTGCTCCGAATTTATGGGTTCTGAGGAATCTTTTAACTGTGGCATGTTTTTGTTGAGTCAGAGAGACATGATCCTTTACTTCTGCTTAATGGCCTTGTCCACTCTTGGGTTCTACTTATCACCATTGTTAAAGGTTGAGCCCATGTAATTTGCTGACCCACTGTCTAGAACTTGTCTTGCGTTCTCTAAATAGTTACAGGAAGAAGCAAGAAAACTTGCTGTCTGATTTATGTAGTGATCATAGCTCCTGTCAGAATAATAATAACACTTACACATTAAAACTTGGTAGAGGTGATCTCTGAGGTGCCTTTCAATTATGTTCAATGATGTTAGTTGAATGGGTTAAGTACAGGTAGGGTTCATGGCACGAATGTATGGTTTTCTCTCTCTAGAATGACTATATTTGAGATAATGAACAACTCACCATCATAGATTTTAGCTTATGAAAAATCTAAAATATTTCCATTGTCCCTAACCTTTTTGATCATTTTTTCAGAAATACTTGGGAGAGATGCACTGACCATCAAAAAAAGCTGGCCTCTTAACCAACAAGGGCTGCCTCTAATATGCAAATTCCTAGTATAGCTTTGTTATGTTCTGTGTCTGATTAAAACAAAAGAGAGAAAATGGTGGCAAAACCATCTAAGTGTTATTAGTACTTCAATTAAAAATCTGTGCTAAAATTTGATTTCTTATTCTTGTTTAGGATTATTCACATCCTATTTGCTTATATTGATGTGTTTGCAAAATTATTATAAAAGCAAAATTTTATTATAATTTTTTTTTCTTTTCTATGCATAGGTATGGGTTAGAATGTCTGTTCAGGTTTTATAGTTACGGACTGGAAAAAAATTTCAGACAAGAAATTTTTAAGGATTTCCAAGAAGAAACCAAAAAAGATTACGAATCTGGTAAAAACAAAAATCTTACTCTTTTGGAATTTGTAAACTTGAATTTGTTGATAAGTAAAAAAGGAGTTCATAGCATTCGTCTTTAGAATGTACCACTTAAGACACTCATGCTGCTCTTGTGGTTCTTGGTGAAGGATGGGGTACCATGTAGTAAAAAGAGACATACGGGAAAATACCACCCCTAAGTACTTGCTTTGTGCAAGTGTATTTTGTCATTATCCTCTTAACAAACGTGGCTCCTCGCCACTGTTCCTCACATGAAAGCCTGTGTGACAGTAATAATAGATGGGCTTGGAAAAGCAGACTGCCAGCAGTGAAGGGGGCAGGCTGTGGGCCAGATCCCCCGGGCTTGGAAGCTGGGTGACCTTGGTGAGTTTCTCAAACTTGCCTGCTTCTGTTTTCTTGTTGGTCATATATATAATACCCATCTCACAAGGTTATATATGGTTCAGATTCATTTTCTACATAATAAACACTTAAATAATACCTGTTACACAGGTGCTTTGTAAGTATTAGCTACTATTTCTATAATTCACTGCACATCTTAGTGTGCAATGGGAGTGGTTGTGTCCACCTGTATTGGGATTACCAGCACTTGGGAGGAAGCAGGAGGATCGCCTGAAGTTTGAGGTCAGCCTGGGCTACATAGTGAGTTCAAGAAATCCTGAAACATATGGTGAGATGCTACCTCAAAAAAATAAATAGATAAGAGCATATAATAAAAGATACAAGGGGCCTCAGCATAAGCGCCTGCCTGACAAGTATGAGGTTGTCATTTTGATCTAAAGTACCACCAAGAAAAAAAACAAAAACAACAACAAAAAAGAAAGATACATGGGTTATTGCTTGTTGAATCCTGATTGAAATGACTCTCTTTTAAAAGTCTATATCATTTATAGTGTATATTCTTCTTTGTTATTAGGTCAGCTGTATGGACTAGAAAAATTTTGGGCCTATCTGAAATACTCTCAATCTAAGACACATTCTGTTGACCCAAAGCTTCAAGAATACCTCTGTAGTTTTAAGAAGTTAGAAGACTTCCGCGCTGATGTAAGTTTTAAGTTCTTTTCCTAGTTAAAAAAAAAAAAAACAAAAGAAGGAAAAACTGGAAACAAAATTTTTAATGAGGAGGGAAAGACTGGGTTGAAGGCTGGGCAGAAAAATGGTAAAAAATGAAATTAAATTGTGTATAGATACAAATTCTCTATAATAAATGTGATTATTGTGTATACCTAAAATATACCAATACAATCTGATTTTAAAAAAACAAAAGGAAAAACCTGAGATTCTATTTCAATTATAACTCACTGTACATATTTTTCTGCCTAAAAAATTAGATATTATTAAAAGAATATGCCTTTCTAAAAATTTTTTTTCTTTATTCTTTTTATTGCCCATATATTTCCGTCACTTCTCAGTAGCTTTATTGGTTTTTGTTTTTGTTTTGTTTTTTGTCTTTTTCCTTTTTATCGGTACCGGGGATCGAACTCACGACTGCCTGCTTTACAAGGCAGGTGCTTATGCCGCTGAGCTAAATCCCCAGCCCTGTTTTTGTTTTTTGAGACAGGATCCCTCTGTGTAGTTCAGGCTGACCTTGATTCCACTGTATAACCTAGGCTGGCCTCAAACTGTGCAGTGATGCTCCTGCCTCAGCCTCCCAAGTGCTGGGAATTCTAGGTGTGCATCATGCCTAGCTTCTTCTCAGTGAGTTTCTTAATTTTAATTTTATGGTTTTGCTTTTTAATCTTTAAATGTGAAAAATTAACATTTCAATTTTGAAATCAAATTTTGAAATAGGCCCCAAAATAGCTGAGTGAATTGTCATAGATTCTTCACTTAAATTTTTCTACCTGTGGACATCTTATGTAACCATAGTACCATTGTCGGTTCACTTTAATTTTGATTTGCTACTACAGTTGAAAATTTTTTACACTTAGTAATTTTTTTTTTTTTGTCTTTTTCCTTTTTATTGGTACCAGGGATTGAACTCACGACTGCCTGCTTGCGAGGCAGGCGCTTATGCCACTGAGCTAAATCCCCAGCCCCCGTAATTTTTTTTTTTTTGAGACAGGGTTTCATTATGCAGTTCAGGCTGGGCTTGAACTCACTGTGTAGCCCAGGCTGACCTTGAATTTGTGGCAATTCTTGTGCCTCAGCCTCCTAAGTGCTGGAATTACAGGTGTGTTCCATCATGCTTGGCTAGACTTGGTGACTTTTATCAGGATGGTACTGATTTCTATTAGTGCGAAAACTTTTTATCCTTTTGTTTTCTGTTTCTTTTTTGGAAGTGCTGGGGATTAAACATAGGGCCTTACACATGCTAGGCAAACACTGCCACTAAGCTAGATTCCCAACACAAGTTGCAGTGTTGTTTTTTTGTGTTTTTGTTTTTGTTTTTTGTTTTTGTGGTGCTGGGGATTAAACCCACAGCCTTGCATGAGCTCGGCAAGTCCTTCACAACTGAGCAATATCCAGGCTAATTGAACTTGCAGTCCTCCTGCCTCAGCCTCCTAAGTAGTTGAGATCACAGGGATGTGCCACTGCACCCAGCTACTTTCTGTTGTTATTGTTTTATTGAGACAGGGTCTGTGTCAAAACAGGCTAGTAGAATAATTAATAATTAATACATTGCAAAAACATTGTATATTGTTGTCTTCCTAGTAGTTATTTAGAGTACAAGATACATGGTATCTTTTTTTTTTCATCCTGGGGTTCGAATTCATGAATGCTCTTATCAGGCAGGCGCTTTTGCTGCTGAGCTAAATCCCTGACTCCAGGCATAGTATCTTGTCCAAATAAAATTAGCACAAACTTTTCAATGAACTAAGAGGAACTAGCTGTATAACTACCTTATCTTGTGTATAAATATGTTTTTTCTTTTTCCCATTCTTCCTTTCCCCTTTCTCCCATGGGTTTTGCTATTCAGTTCAGGCTGGCCTTGAACTCACTATGTAGCCCATGCTGGCCTCAAACCTGTAGTGATTTGCCTGCCTCAGCCTCCCAAGTGCTGGGATTACAGGCATGGGCTACCTCGCCAGCCCCTTTTCACTTTGTAATGTACTTTAAGACACACAAGTTTTGTAACATGCTGATGTGGATTTAGAGTTCCTCCATAATAAAATTCAGGCAAAGACGTCATGTACGTAGGTGCTTGAAGGGAAGTAAACCTTAATGAATTTGATTTAAAGAGGTAAACGAAAAGTTAAGAATATGGAACAAATGTAAGAAAATTAAGGGCAAAAGAGGAAAAAGAGAAAATGAGAAGTAAAGCATGAGGAAAACTAAAAAGTTCTCATTCTTAAGAAGTAAAGGTAAAAGGGAGAGCACTGCTGCCCGGAGCTGGGACCTTCCCCTCGCAGCCTGGTGTGTGTGGCTCGGAACGGCCATCTGGAAGCACCCCCGTCTCTGCAATGAAGAGCTGTTTTTCTAGAGCAGTCCACTAATTCCATCACCAAGAGGTCCTGCTCTGCATTCCTAGCTTTTGTCCTGTCTGAATGTAAGCTAAGAATTTGGGCCTTCTCTTAAAAGCTAGAGAAAACAAGGCGGTTACCGTTCGGCTTGCTCAGCAGAAGTGCTGGTCGAGAGGTGCGCAGTTCTGTGCTCCTGTCTGCACTGACAGGCCTGCAAGCTGACTTACTTGAAATGTAGACTCCTTCTGGATGCCCACGCCTTCCTGCTTGTAGTCTGAGTGGGTTTGGAAGCTTCATGATACTAATGTTTGAAGACATTTAAATTTAGTATCAGCAGTAACACAGTAATCTCCTTACCGTGGAAATCCTAGGTGAAACTTCCAACTTGCTGCAAGTTATTGACGCGGCGCGCTTTCCACCACTGCTGCCTTCATTCATCTGTTACTTAAACATTACCACTTCAGCAAGCTTAGTAGGCGTTGAGAAGGAACTGGAGTTAGAAAAGCTTTACAGCTGACAGAAGTTGAATAAAGAAGGAAAATCGCCTTGTAGAAACATTTTCTTAGAGGCAAGACACCCAGCCTTATGCCTATGCCTTAATATGTAGCTTGGCCCACACACCATGACAGAAACTTTGTTTTTGTCTTTTTGAGACATGGTTTCACTGCAGTTCTGGCTGGCCTCAAATTCACTTCACTTTGTAGCCCAGGCTGACCTCGAACTGGCAGTGATCTACCTGCCTCAGCCTCCCGAGTGCTGGGATCACAAGCATGCATCACCAGACCCAGCCAACATGAGAGAAGCTTTATAAACATATGTCAGGAGGAAGAACAAGAAGGCCAACGCGAGGATGCTGATTTGGTTGGGGAGGAAACTTAGGTTTAATACTTAAGTTACCGTTCAGTTTTCAGTATACCAGTGAAATCAGCTGAGGTCCCACCATAATTTCTCAACTCCTTAGAAAAGGCTGGCCTTAGATTTTTAAGGGGGAATAAGTGAGAGAATTGTCAATCATCTTGTCTTTCATAATTTGCAGCCTCCGATTAGTGAGGAATCGGGAAGGAAAACGCCTACATCTACCTCTGCCGAGGAGAATAATAGTCACAGACTTGTGTCCGGCTCCTCCGCAAAGGCTGCCGCCACCGCCCAGCTGACTTCCAGCGCGCAGCCTCCGGTGCCCTCTCCCAGACTGCGCTCTTCCCAGGCCTCGGGCCGCAGCTCACCCCAGGACCAGGACCTCACTGCTGCTGCCGACCCAACGAACCCAACGAACGGTGAAATTCCCCTGGAGAAATAGACTCTTAGGAAAATTGTGTGTCCTTGAAGTCAGTATTTACATCAGGATTTGTTTGGGGAAAAAAAATCTTCTGATGTCTATGATAATCAGAAAAAAGGAAAAGGAAGATGAATGGTAGCATTTTTAAAAAGCAAGGTAAATTGCAAACGCATTTTCCCGGGCTTCACAAAGGAAGGATAGTTTTGGTGCCCTTTAAAGAGATCCTCTAGTAATGCAATTTGGGCTCAGTACTTTCTTAATCCGATGTTTACAAGAACAGTGTTCTTTCAGTATGTTAAAAGCAGCGCAAGGAATGCCAGCGGTGTAGTGCGCTTCTTGCAGAAAATATAGTGTGTGCTGTGTTCATCTCTTGCACAGTGAGCTCTCTGGATGACCCAGCTGCTTCCTGTCAGCTCCTATTTGAACTTCTGTTCATAGGTTACCTATGTGTTTTTAAATTCAGAAAAAAGAATATGAAAGAGACATTTACTTTTTCTTTCAGATGCACAGGTTCAAAGGAAACTTGTTTTAAGTAATAATTAACGTTGAAATGTATGCACTTTCGATGCCCTCTCTCCCCCTTGGTCATATTTTGTGATTTTCCTAGTTGTGTCAGTGTGGAGTTTTTCTGAATTGGTATAAATTGGTTACATATTTGGAGATACTCAGTTTTGTGATTCTGTGTAAGCTTGCAGTAATTAAAAACTGCATTGGTACTGGTTAGACTATTGTCCTAAATAAATTAAAACTGCTTTGGATGTATCTGTTGTTTGTACATCCACAAGTATGTCACAAGCAGTCAGATCAATTTAAAAGTAATAGTTAATGTTTGTTTTTATTTTAATTCTGTAGTATGCTCATAAGTGTTTTCAAGAGTTATTAAAAATTGGTTTCTAATTTTTCCTGTAATTGAAATTAATGTAAACGATCGTTTGAGGTTTTGTGAGATTTTAAAAAAATAAAGCATTTATTCTATACTGTTGGAATTTATTTTTAACAATTTTTAAAATATGTTTGAGAAGCTATATTCAATTTTGCTGGAAGACCGTATTTTATGAAGTTTTAATGATAAACATCTATTTTTACTGAGTACAAGATTCACAAATATTGGATTGACAGAGCAGCTAGTTTCAGTATACTACAGTCATTTATTATTTTCTTTTTGAGTAAACTGGATGTCTTGTTCTTATAAATAGTAATATTGAAATTCACATAGTCTTCATACAAATGGACTGTTTTTGAATAAATACATTTTTATTAGGTTATTTCCCAAGTATAAATTATAATCTGGAGTTTCACAGAGTTTTTTTTTTTTTAATTTAAAGAGAAAACAAAACAGTTAAAGGGTACAAGTAATAGAGAATTTAAAAAAAAAAAGGAAATCACTAGTTAATAAATTACATATTGTCATCTTAGAAATAGTTGATCAAGTTACAAAGTTAAGCATACAAAGTGGACATTCAAACAGTGATACTGCAAACAGTTGTGTTCAATGATCCAACAAAAACTTAGTAATATGGTCATCTATCTTACACACCTAAACACATTTGCAGTTGTGTCCATTAGAGCACTTTCTTTTCCTCTCTTTTTTTCAATAACATTTAAACATTTTGGGTTTTATTACTCCCACAGTTCTTACTACTTTTTTTGGAAGAGAATAAAACTAAATGTGACAAAACAAAGCAGAGTTGGTCAAAACAAAGGATGGACATAGTACATGATGTAAAAACAGAATACCAGGTAATCAACAGTGGTTACCATAATGCCCCTTGCTACCTTTAAAAGAATTGCTTGTATTATCAGGTATAATAAAATTGAACATTGGAGACATTACTGAACTTCAAAAGAAGATAATAGTCAAACCTAGGTGGGCATCATAGTGAATCTTACTGCCTTCAAAGTAGTTGCCCATACCCTCAGAATTGATACTATCAAACAGAACAGAATAGAGTAAAATCAGTCAAAACAAGATGGTGAGAGAAATAGGAGGCTTCAAATCGAGTTAATAGGAAATCAAGTTACTATAATATATCCTGCTAATTTTTAAAATTTTTTTCCCTTAATTAAAAAATAATAAGATAAAATTTTTTTTTAAAAAAGGGGAGATTGATATAAAAGAGGACGTAACAGGATAACAATACAGGTCAGAACAGAACAATTTAAGCAACATAGTGTTTCACCACAAGATAACCCGACTTAATAGTAGTTACCATAGTGTCTCTTTCCTTGAAATATTTGAGTATAACTTTGTATACTATAGCATCAAACATGTCAAGACAGTGTGAGAGTTTCACAGAGTTTACTGTAGGAGATAATATTGATACTTTAATTTTAAGAAATAGTCAAATTTGAATATTCAGAGAATAAACTTTATCAATGTAAAGAGATGCAAAACAAGCAGTACATTAGAATAATAAATTCTTAAGTGTTATTTTAAGTGGATATATAGTTCTAGGTTTTCAATGAGAAATTTCCAAACCATGCTTATTAGCTTTATTTAAGTAATTAATTAGTTAATTAATTTTTGAGACAGGGGCTCACTCTGCATTTCAGGCTGGCCTTGAGCTCACTTTGTACCCCAGGCTGGTCTCAAACGCAGAGATCCTCCTGTCTCAGCCTCCCAAGTGCTAGGATTATAGGTGTGCACCACCACACCGGGTTTGCTTTAAATGGTTTCTTGAAATGACCTAAATTTTTTTCAATATTCTTTTTTGTTGAATACATACATGTGAAACCTATGTTTAACTTAGGTTATTTCTACTCAACTAAATACTCAAGTGCAAATTTAATCCGGAAATTGTATAATTTTGTAGGATCATGTTACTCAAGCTTTGTGGTGGGTACTAATTAATCTTATCATATTACTGAGTTTATAAAAGAATACTTACTAGGAAATTTTTAAAAAGGTAAAGTACGTTTTTTAAAAAGAAAAAAATTAGTATTATAAACTGTAATCTGTACATGGAGTTGTGACCCACCTTTTTTGCTTAATGGGATTGAAAATTATCTGTTATTAGTATTTTTACATATGTAGTATTCCAACATATGTGTGCATGATAGTTTATTTAGCCAGTTACCTATTGTCATACTTTTACTTTGGCTAGGTTTGGGCTATAAATTTTTAATTATTATTTTTTTTTTGAGACAGGCTCTTGCTTTGCAGTGCAGGCTGGCCTTGAACTCACTATGTAGCCCACGCTGGCCTCAAACTTCTTGCAATTGTCCTGTCTCAGCCTCTTGAGTGCTGGGATCACAGGCATGTGCCACCAGACCCAGCTAAAACATCTCATTTTTAATATCCTTACAGACCAGTGTTGGTGTGTAAGCTTGGAGTTATTGCCTAGAAGCTGAAATCCTAAGTCAGAATGAATCTGGACGCATCAGGTTCCCTGCGTCCTTATCCACACTGACTATATAAATCTTTGTTCAAGTGATAAAATATTTTAATATCATTTTAATATCATGTACATTGAATTACTGAGTGATAATTTTTATTATTAACTATTAGCTTTTCTTTTCTTTCTTTTTTTTTTTTTTGTCGGTACTGGGGATCGAACTCATGACCGCGCACTTGCAAGGCAGGTGCTTATGCTGCTGAGCTAAATCCCCAGCCCCAAGCTTTTCTTTTTGTGTGATTATCCTTTGTATGAACTTAAAGGGCTTTTTGCTTATAAAATTATTAACTTGACTTTACAATTTTGTTTGTGTATTTTTTGAACTTAAACGTGTGGTTTATTTTTGTGGAAGAGCCCAGAGGCAAAGGGTATGATACAGTACATTCAGTATGTAAAATATGCTTTGTGTGCATCTGTCATGATTTTCTGTAATAACCTATAGAAATAATTGTTTCATACAAAGACTAAAAGTCATGTGACAGTAGAAATAAATTTTGTTTTTATTAAAATATCCAACCTGAAAGATATGGCTTCTAGACATGAATTTTGAAATTTGTGCCATTATCACAAAATTCCCTTGAATGCAATGTCAATCAAGGTGACAGGTGCAGGATATGGCCCATAAAATGTTACAGTATTATTCAAATTTTTGTAAATGGTAGGTCTGATTTTACTGGGATATGCTTACCTAGAAGATTATTTACAAAGAAGCAGTTCTAGCTAAGAATGACAATAATATGTATATGTTTCACATGGTATATACATTTTTCTGATAAAATTGAAAATTATACACCTTAAAGAAATTTTAAATATAAAACTCAAGCAAATTAAGGCTTTTCTATTCAATATAGAGAAGAAAACTTTGACTATAAAACTAGAATACCCTACCTAAAATTTATTTAAGTCTCTTGGGCACTTTCTATAATTTTACAAATTTTTCAATTTCATTAAACTAAAAAAGGTGTATTAGAATGTTTAAATTCAGAGACTCTTTTTTTTTTTTTGACAAGGTCTTGCTACATAGTTCAGGGTGTCCTTGAGTTTGAAATGTAGCCCAGGGTAGCCTTGAACTGGTGGCAATCCTCTTGCCTGACTCCCAAGTGCTGGTTTTACAGGGTTGTGACTCCATGCCCAGTTCCTTGTCCTGTTTAAGGGAATAATTGAAGCCATTTTTGGAGTCCTTTACATTGAAAGCAATTAGGGGGAGATTTATGTTTTAGAATCGACATCATTTTAAAAATATATTTTAGTTTTAAACCTGTTTTAATTGCATAGATTGATCCAGTATTCTATGATGCCTAGTTATTATATCACCACTAGATGGCAGAATAGAATGTCAGATCTGTCGGTTTGACAGGTGTCTCATGTTTTGGGGAACTCTTACTCCATCTCGTGGTGATAACATATAATTATATCAATTACTCTTCAGTCCCTAACACATCGTCATATTTCTCATCATTACTGACAATAGGCTTCCCCTGAGTTACAAATAAATTAGCATTAGCTATTTGGTTATTAGTAAACAAGTATAGTGACTGCATTGGGATTTGTGTATGATCACAGATAAAAACAGTATTGCTTTGGTAGGTTGTCTTTTTACCTTTTTCCTTTAAATTTGTGTTTAATGCTGGAGATGCACACTGGGCAAGCAAAGTGTCAGATGCATTTATTTAAATGCATAACCTAGCCTGTGAGGTTAAACCACATGGCAAACTATGAATGGGTCTTACCTGCAACATGATAAACAAGTTAGATTTTGCTCTTCTAACTGGAACAAATTATTACACAGTCAAGTAACAGCTATTTGGACTCCATGGTTCAGTTGGAGTTCATCTTAGCCAGGTGTTCTTTAGCAGTGTGAACTACATGGACACTGACTCTAAAATTCAACTTACAGTGATTCTTTAAGTCAGGATTCAGTTCTCATGGTTAAGACAGTCTTTTGTATGACAGACGTCCTCTGCAGTAATGACTAGTCTAATGGAATATTTAGGCGTAGTGGTGCACATCTGTAATCCGAGCACTCAGAAGGCTGAGGCAGATTCAAGACCAGCCTGGGTTACATAGTGAGCTCAAGGCCAGCCTGCATTACAAAATGAAACCCTATCTCAAAAAAAGAATACACGCATACATACTTAACACTTGCCTAAGTGGTATGTGATGAATCCTCTCTTTTAGAGAAAATTATATTTAAGAAGTATTGTTGTGGTTAAATATTTTCCTAGAATTAGATCAGGTAAAATGCAAACTAAATTGAACATTTTAATCAGAATCTGCTTAGAAATTTTGAATTAATTTAATGTTATTGTTACCAACTGAAGAACACTGAATTAGTCAGAAATAATGAGATTCTAGTCTTAAAAATGTTTGAAGGAAATATGCCACAAGGTCAGTTAAGAGAAGTCACGTCTGTCTTTTTACTCTTTGCCCAATTTCCTGAATTCTTTACAATGATTCTGTTTTTCTCTGGGCCAATTCAGAATGACTTAACAGAATACTGAATGTATTAGCTTCAGTATATTTAAAAACTATGTGCCATTTTGTGTTTTCATCAGATGAATGCAAGTCTGTAAAATTAAACA